TAAAATCCTCCCCACCCCACAGATCTTCCACCGGGGCCTTTTGGGAAATGCTTTTTGTGGGGGCTGCTGTATGCATCTTTCCCTCACTGATGGCATGGAAATGGCAGTGGCATTCTGTTGTGAGCCTGTGTTTGGTTCTGCAGCTGCCCTTTTCAAAATAACTATTCCTTTTCCTAGTAAAAGTGACATTGTCAAGCATCCAATCTGAATTGGCTATTTGAGGTCACTGAGTAGCTTGGTTTTCCATCAGAATGAATGCAGTGCTATGGAAAAGCCAAATCTGGCTTTGTGACCATCGCTGTTTTGTGTTATGTTTCCACCAGAAATGGTGCTGAAGTCGCTGCCTCTTGGGGTATTACTAGCAATTAGACCAGTGAAAAAAGAAACTCCCGGGTTGTCCTTCCTCATTCCCAACAATTTCATGTTGTATAACTATTGAAAATTACTACTTGCCATGTGATGCTACAAGCCCCTGCTTCTCATTTCCCATCATTTCATCTTGAGTTTCAGATGCAAAATCTTATTGTTTATGCAAGTGGTATTTGTTTCTATACCTTTTCTGCCGAACTGATTTCTTCAATGACCTTTTGTTTTGTTCCCTTCTCTAGTTCTTATTCTGTTTCCCTCTTTTGGGAACTTAGGTGGAAAAAGAGGGTGAATATGCAGTTAATGAACTTCTGTAGTGAAATTTCTGTTGTCAGGCAGTCCCTTGCTACCAAATCCTCCAGAGAATTTCCCATCAGGCAAACATCCTATGGTGATGTTTATGTTATTTTCATCTTGAGTTTCAGATGCAAAATCTTATTGTTTATGCAAGTGGTATTTATTTCTATACCTTTTCTGCCGAACTGATTTCTTCAATGACCTTTGGTTTTGTTCCCTTCTCTAGTTCTTATTCTGTTTCCCTCTTTTGGGAACTTAGGTGGAAAAAGAGGGTGAATATGCAGTTAATGAACTTCTGTAGTGAAATTTCTGTTGTCAGGCAGTCCCTTGCTACCAAATCCTCCAGAGAATTTCCCATCAGGCAAACATCCTATGGTGATGTTTATGTTATTAACAGCTACACATATTACAATTGCATGGAACTAGAAGAAGAAATACCCTACTGAAGCTGATGAGTAGTTTGAAAAAGTGCTAAGGATGAAAAAACTGATGCATCATCTCCAGAAGGAAGAAGCAACCCCCACCCCCCAAACACTGGACCTAAAAATGCTTTAGAAGTTCATGACATTAAAAAACAAAAGAGCTCTCATACCTCACCAGTTTGAAAGGTTGGCGTATATTGTCAGGATGTAGTCAAGAAGAAGCAGTGTCAAAAGCAGTCCCACACAGGCCCTGACCTGGATAGCCCAGGCAAGCCCAATCTTGTCAGATCTCGGAAGCTAAGCAGGGTTTGCCCTGGCAAGTGAGTGGAAGGGGGACCTCCAAGGAATACCAGGGCTCAGGACGCAGAGGCAGGCCATCAAGCCCCCTCTCTGAAAATGTCCCAAGCCCCACTAGGGGTCACCAGAAGTCACCATGACTTCCAGGCATGCAAGCACCCCCCCCCCCAAAAAAAAAAGCAGTCCCACACAGTACTTTCAGTGTGGGCCTTAATTTAATATCCATTGTTGACATTACAGACAGAATTTTGCTACTGTAATGGTTTTTCTTTTTTAGTTAATAACAAAAATTGTAAATGTATACATTTCTACTTCTGATTTTTCTTTATATTCCACCTGAAATTACACCATCCATATATACTTTAAACTAACATCCAATTCCAGGTTTTTAAAGAAATACTATATTTACAGGAAACGTTTTCTTGTTTTTTTAGGCAAACATAAATGGTCGTGTTTTAGCACAGTGCAACATCGATGAACTGAAGCGAGAGATGAACATGAATTTTGGTGACTGGCATCTTTTCAGAAGCACAGTAAGACCGTTTTCAAATCATATATGTAAATACAGACTCTTGTTGTGTCGTCAATACCTGGCTGGCCTGATCTCATCAGACCTCAGAAGCTAGGCAGGGTTGGACCTGGCTAGTGCTTGGATGAGGGACCACCAAGGAAGTCGAGGGTTGCTACACAGAGGAAGACAAGGACAAACCACCTCTGTTTGTATCTTGTCTTGAAAACCCTACAGGGTGGCTATGAGTCGGCCACCGTTTGATAGCACTTTGCAGACAGATGTGTTCTTAGATGAATGTACATAGGATTGCAGGTTTATAGTAATTTGTTTACTTTGTCTTCAAGGTATAGTTTATACTGAAAAAAAATTACTAAATATAGCTGTGTCAGGCATGGAGTTTTCAGTTTTAACAAGGCATGGGACTCTTTTTAACAGACATGGGACTCTTTTTAACAGACACACATTTATTTTCTTCATTTTTATACTGCTTTTCTCCCCAGTGGGAACACATAGGGCTTTTCTGCATTCTCATTTTCCTTGCTTTTATGTTCCTGTTTCAGGTTTTTTTTCTGTTCTGCATATGTTTTATTTCTTCTAGTGGTCAGTTCTGTATTACATCACTTTATTGTCGACATAAAAGCCGGCAGTTTAAATCTGCAGGGAGATATGTCACACATAAAATGGTGTAATATCAAATTGACCTCTAGTGGGAGCAAACCGTGTGTGGAACAGACCCCCCCCCCCTTGCAGCAGGAACACACAACTGAGGAAAATGAGAATACGGAAACCCCCATAGTGGCTTACATTGTTCTTTGCTCCTCCATTTTACTATCGCAACAACACTGTGAGATAGGTTAGGGTGAGTTTGTAACTGACCCAAAGTCATCCAACGAGCTTCCATGGCAGAATGAGGATTTGAACCTGAGTTAACAGGATCCCAGTGTGACACTCTAACCACTGCACCACACCGGCTCTCTTACATTGAGGGGAGTCACAGTATGAGGCCAGGGGTCATTTTGTAGAAAAAGAGGTGCAGGAGCTCATTAGCATACCTCTTAGCGTAACTCATTAGCATATGCCATGCCCCCTGACATCACTGGAAGTGTGTCAGAAGGGGAAGCAAAAAAAGGGGGGGAGGCATCTTCAAAAGCCTCCCCTTTCTTTCCCCAGCCGGCCTGCCAAGGCAGGGGACGGGGGGGGGAAGTGAAGAGAGAAGGGGTTCAAAGTTTAAACCCCTTCTCTCTAGAGTTGCGCCGCCGCTTTCCATTGTATTCTATGGGGCCATGGAATACAATGAAAAGATTACGCCGCTGCTGCGGCGCAACTCTAGAGAGAAGGAGTTTAAACTTTAAACCTCTTCTCTTTTTGCTTCCTCCGCAAGCCCGCTGGGGGTGGGGCTTGCCACTACTGCCATTTGTGCCCGCTCCAGCCCCAAATGACCCCTGAAGAGAACGTTTTCTCCCAGAGCCTTCCCAGCCAGCATTTTCTTGAGTTGGTCTCAGTATTCCTGGGACCTTTCTCTCTGTCCCTTATTCCTGCTCCTGTGAGACAGCTGGAAGTATCTGGTAGTGCTGCACACCACTCTATCTTTTGACTCTCAGAGAGAGATAGCTGATAGAGAAACCCTCTGCCAACCCTTTGTTTTGTCTCCAAAGCCCTGAATAACTGAACATAGTATTATTTATTTAATATTTGGAAAATGTCTGTGCTGCCTCTTCAGAGTCCTGCTGGAAGCAGTTTACAATTAAAAACCAAAGTATATATCCCTCCATAACCAAGCCATTAGACATGTGCAGCATAAAAAGTATCCATAAAGCAGAAGCAGGCCGTTAAAACTGGTAAGATAAAAGTTTAACCTTAGTTAAAATCCTGGGTAAAGAGATGTGGTTTAGCCTGATGCCTAAAATGAAATAAAGTAGGTGCCAGCTGAGCCTCAAGGGGGAGGGAGTTCTGAAGGCCACCACGAAAAAATTGCCCTGTCTGTAGTACTGTCTGTCTCACTGCTGAAGGTTGGGGGCCCAGACAACCGGGCTTGAGAGACAAGTCTTAATGGGTGGGCTGGATAGTATTGGAAGAGATGGTCTTTAGCTCCTGCCAAGTGTGCTGGTTATTATTATTGTTATTATTTACATTTATAGACCGCCCTTCCCCGAAGGGCTCATGGTGGTGCACAACAGGTTAAAATACAAATAAGTTAGTTTCAATTTAAAATAAAATTAGCAGTGCTAATCGGTGGCATAAAATTGTGCTTAATTCCTTCCCTCCCTCGGGTGGATCAGGGACCGGTCATCGGGGAGGCTTTATCCATTCTAATTACAATTACAATTATTATTATTATTGTTGTTGTTGTTGTTGTTGTTATTAATCTATAGACCAACTTCCCCAAAGGACTTATGGTGGTGCACAACAGGTTAAAATACAAATAAGTTAGTTTCAATTTAAAATAAAATTAGCAGCGCTAATCGGTGGCATAAAATTGCGCTTAATTCCTTCCCTCCCTCGGGCGGATCAGGGACCGGTCATGGGGGAGGTCCAGGTAGAGAGTTCAACCAGGCTGGACAGATCGAGGACAGCCAGATGTCTTTTGGGACAGGGATCTTCTGAGGGCAAGGCTCTTTGGGGAACAATACCGGGAAAGGTGGTCCCACAAGTACGCTGGTCCCAGACCATTAAGGGCCTTAAAAGTCAGCACCAAAACCTTGAAGTGGATCCGGTACTTGATTTGGAGCCAATGCAGCTGGCGAACCACAGGTTGTATGTGTGTAAATACCGGTGCCGTTGCATTCTGGACAAGCTGTATTTTCTGGGTCAGCTTCAGGGGTAGCCCTGCGTAGAGCGAGTTACAGTAATTCAGCCTTGAAGTGACCGTTGCATGGATCATTGTGGCAAGGTCAGGGTTAGAGAGGCAGGGGGCTACCTGCTTGACCTAGCGCAGTCAGAAAAATGCCAGCCTGGAAAAATTCGCCACCTGGGCTCCATAGTTAAGGAGGGATCCAGGAGCACACCCAAAGTCTTGTTCATCAATGCTGGTGTTAGTGGCAGACCGTCAAAAGCTGGGAGTTGGCATCCCTACCTCGGATCACCCCCTTCCCAGCCACAGGACCTCCGCCTTAATCATTGTGGCAAGGTCAGGGTTAGAGAGGTAGGGGGCTACCTGCTTGACCTGGCGCAGTCCTGGCAAAATTCACCACCTGAGCTTCGTAGTTAAGGAGGGATCCAGGAGCACACCCAAAGTCTTGTTCATCAATGCTGGTGTTAGTGGCAGATCGTCAAAAGCTGGGAGATGGCATCCCTACCTCGGATCATCCCCTCCCCAGGCACAGGACCTCCGCCTTAGATGGAGTCAGTCTCAACTGGCTCTGCTTCAACCACTCAGTCACAGCCTCCAGTCCTGCAGCCATATTAGATGGGGCAGTGATCAGACAGCTGCCCATCATCAGATACAGCTGGGTGTCATCAGCATACTGGTGACAGCCCAGCCCGAAGCTCCGCACCAGCTGGGCGAGAGGGCGCATATAGATGTTGAACAGCATAGGATAGAGAATGGCCCCTTGGGGAAACTCACACACCAAAGGGCCACTCTCTTCCAGGGCCACTCTCTGCCCCCAACCCTGGAGGAATGAAGTAAGCCACTTCAAGGCCACTCCTATACCGGTGAAGCAGTGGGCCAACAGGTCATAGTCAACCATGTCAATCACTGTTGTCAGAACTAACAACAGCAGCAGCACCGACCTGCCTCGATCCAGCTGTCTGTGGAGATCGTTCATGAGGGTGAACAATGCTTCCTCTAAGCTGTGGAGTCTTGTGAGCAAAAAATCTACTTTGTGAGCTACTGGCATTAAAGTTAGTTTGCTCCGGAGCCATCCTTCCTGAGCTAAGACAAAAATGTGAGAGCCGGAGGCTAAAAAACTGTGAGCTACCTCACACTAACTCAGGTTAGAGGGAACACTGGTGACCAGCACTGTCTCCATCCCGTGGCTGGAGTGGAAGCCGAATTGGAATGGCTCTAAGGTCAATGTGTCCTTCAAGAAACCCTGGAGCTGCTCGACCACCGCTCTCAAATCACCTTACCCAGGAATTAGAGGTTTGAAACCGGGTAATTGGCTGGATCCGATGGGTCCAAAGATGGCTTCTTCAAGAGCATTGTTACCACGGCCTCTTTTTGTCCCCCTAGATAGACCCCTGAACTTAGAGACAGATTGGTAATGTCCATCAGGGGGCCACGTATTCCATCGCTGGCTTTCACCAGCCACAATGGACACGGGTCCAAGAGGCTTGTTGTTGGCCTAGCAGCTCTACGGATCCTGTCAATGTCAGCCTGAGAGAGTCGGCTGAAGTTGTTGAGCACCGAATCCACAGACGGCCAGGGGGCCTCAAGTTCTCTTACTGCATCAACAGTGGCAGGCAGGTCGTGGCAGAGTGACAAGACTTCATCTGCAAAGAAGCTTCCAGATGCCTGACAGCTGAGGACTGAATTTCTCATATTTTGAGTTCTCCTTGCAAGGGAATTTAGAGATCGAATCACCCTAAATAATTGAACTGGGTGAGAGCTAGCAGATGTGATGGAAGCTGTGAAGAGGGATTTCTTTGCAGCTTCGTCACGAGACCAGTGCAACACTCACTGTAGCGTTCTAACTTCTTGCTTCATTTCCCTGAGCTCCATTGTATACCATGGGGCCAGGTTAAGGCAAGAACGAAGAGGGCGTCGGGTTTTTCCAGTTCTCTATCAGCTCATCTGATAAGTTGCCGGGAGGCAATGGATCCCACAGAGCATTCTGGAAACCAGTCAGGTCCATAAGTCTCCCAGGCGAGCATAAATCCGCTCACCACCTAGACAAGGCAGGTTTGATCTATACAGCCAGGCCTTCAGGGCAAAGTGATCTGACCCTGGCACTCTGTCCGCAGCAATCAAATCAACATCTATTCCCATTCCAAAGATAAGATCCAGAGTATGGCGGGCTTGGTGTGTGGGACTCGGTACAGTCTGGGAGAGTCCTAGTGTTGCCATGGATGTCACCAGGTCGAGAGCCTGTTTGGAGGGGGCTGCATCAGCATGGGCGTTGAAGTCCCCGAGCACCAAAAGCCTTGGGAATTCTAAGGCCCAGCCAGCAGCCACCTCCAGCAGGCCTGGCAGGCTGTCTGCTGGTGTGCTAGGTGGTCAGTACACCAGCCAGACAGCCAAAGTCTCTTCGGCTTCCCACACCAGACCCACACAATCAACACCAGAAATCTTTGGTGTGGGGAGGGCCCTGAGAGAGAAAGACTCCCAGATGAGTATTTCCACTCCCCACCCACCCATACATCTGGGACTGATGAAGGACCAAGAAACCCGGGGGGTTCTTTTAAGGCGACTGTTTCACCCTCCCTAGCCCAGGTCTTGGTCGCACATGCCAGGTCCACTTGCTGCTCAGCAAAGAAGCTTTCCAGTGTGGTGGTCTTACTATTGATGTACTTGGTGTTACACAACATCAGTGTTGGGGACGGGTATACCCTCTGAATCTCTCCACCATCTTCCTTGGGATGGGACAAAGATTGGAAGGAGACTGAGCATATCCATATCTCTGTCACCTTCCTTTATAACATCTTCTTCTACCACCATACTTCCCTCTGCCCCCAATTACAGGGATCCCTGGCCCAAAATTGGTGTTACAGGAGCTCTCGGCGACCTCCCCCATGACACAGCCTCTCCCTTTGCCCACGTAAACCAAGTAACAGTAAAATCACTAAATACAGTTAAACCCACCTAGGCAAAACAGTTAAGTTCCCCATCTGACAACAAAAACTCTCCTTCCCACCCAGCCTTCCATTACTCCCACCCCCCCAGCCACTAAATAAGAAAGAAACGAATCTATTATTTACTAACTAATGAATTATGGGATCAGGATCCTCACTGCCGCTTCATATATACTCCTCCTCAGGACTCTGCTCCAAGACCATGTGGGGTGTTGATTAGCCGGTTGGCAGCGACAGCAACGGGTTAGAGCTTCTTGAAGCCGCCTGGGCTGGTGGTACTCCAGCACGAAGACTGCCTAAAGCCGTCCGGTTCCAGGGACTGCCTGAGCTCATACAAAGCTGCCCGCCAGTAACCCCAAATGTCACAGACTCCGGGCTCCAGGGAAGAAAACACTAAGGGGGGGGGGAATGAATGTGGCATGGATTTGAGAGAACAGAGGGAAGAGAAGGGACTGGATACGAAAAGCACGAGGAGTGGCAAAACATCAAAGAAACGGTTTGCTAAAACGCTTCCCTGGCATTTTGAATATGTGCCTTCCCTACATGGACACATCCATGCAAAGCCGGACCTCTGTGCCCTTTGCATTCTCCAAGCAAAGTGTGCATGGAAGTTCCTTTGTCCTGGAGAGCTTAGACCCCCTCACCTGGGATGGGCTGAGGCAGCTGCCCTTTTCTGCTTGTGGGAGGAATAGCCGACTGATAGCAGTCAGTTTTTTAAAAGGTGATGAATGGGGCATAGGTGTTCGGTTTTTAATAGTTTCGGTGTATTATATGTCTACTTTAGTGTTCATTTTTATCCTCTTTTTCCATTGTTACCTGTTGTGGTGGATAGGTAAATATTTTAAGTAAATGAATGTTGCAGTTCAGGCAGCGCAGGAAGGTTCCTTGACTTTCTGGAGTGACCTTCCAGGAGTTATGAAGGGGTGGGGTGGGGGATGGATCAGGATCTCCCAAGTCTTCTCACGGAGGCTCTATTTGCAGAAGTTTGATTCCCATACATAAATGTGTTTGATTAAATCTGTAAACTTCCATGATAGGCTTGTCTACATATATTTTTGTCCTAGCAATTCCAGGCCGTTTTAGTTTCCCATGCTACCCTGCCGGCATAACAATGGCTGTCCTTCATGCACCAGGTACTTGAAATGAGAAGTGCGGAGAGTCAGGCCGTCCACGAAGATTCCCGTGCAGCAGCTGAACATTCCAATCCCCACAACGATCTCGCTCGTCGTGCCACACTGAATAGCGAGTTGCCTCATACGGAACTTACAGGCCTCTCTGGTCAACCTCCCTATGCTCTCAACTTCAGTTTCGAAGAGCTGAACACTATCGGTTTAGATGAAGCCCCTCCACGTCACAGTAACCTAAGCTGGCAGGTAACTCGGAAGTAGTCTTTGTTTTCATTCATTTCCTGTGTTTGAGCCACGGCAGCTATTACTAGTAAGCGCTGCCTTTTTAAGGAGTTAAAAATCTATATCGAGGCATGGATATTGATTGCTTACACATTAATGTATATAAAAGGGAGCGACCACAATCTCTGTAATTCAACATCCCGGGGCAGAACACAGTTACCTGCCCTGTTCTAGCTCCGTGCGTACAGAGCCTCCACCTCACGTCCATGACTGGTGGTGTTTCCCCATTCTCTTCAGCAAAAGGAACAGCTTTGTATATACAGACAGATATGTGATTGCTTGTAGAGTGAATAACTTGTTCTGTGGGGGGAATAGTTTAGCATGTCTAGAACACTGAATTTTCCCATCCTGTGAGAAGCATGTGGTCTGTTATTTAATTTAGTGTTTATCCCTTCCTTCCTCCAATGAGCTCAAGGCAGAGTACCTTGTTCTCCTCTCTTCCACCTCAGCCTAGCCCTATGAGATCAGGCTGAGACAAAGTGTCATTCAGCAAGCTCTGTGGCAGGGTGGGGAATTGAACCTGGAATATGCAGTTTAATCAATGCAGGATGCTGGCTTTCACTGGCTATGAGGGATCAGAGATCAAATGGCAGGATGCTGGCTTTCACTGGCTATGAGGATTCATGCACATCTGTTCATACCTGTGTACTGTGTTGAGAAGTTCTTGCTGAATCCTGAAAAAATCCTATGACTAGATCTTTAATTTATATTTGAGTATCAATGTTTGGTGATGACCCTTTACTTTTTTTAGAGCGGCCTCATGCTCCTGTAACTAACATGGACTTTTTCCCTCTTTGTACAGTCGCAAACTCGAAGAACTCCAAGTCTTTCAAGCCTCAATTCTCAAGACTCTAGTATTGAAATTTCAAAGCTTACTGATAAGGTACAGGCAGAATATAGAGATGCATATAGAGAATATATTGCTCAAATGTCTCAACTAGAAGGGGGTGCAAGTTCTAGTACTGTGAGTGGCAGATCCTCCCCACATAGCTCAGCAGCTTTTTATATGGGCCAGAGCACGTCAACAGGCTCCCTGCATTCCAGCATTGAGCAAGATAAAGGAAAGGATGCAGAACAGAAACAAGATGATGGAAGGAAGTCTTTCTTGATTAAACGGAATGATGTAGACTACAGTACATCGGGGGTATCTACGAGCGATGCATCTCCATTGGATCCCATTACTGAAGAAGATGAAAAATCAGATCAGTCGGGCTCCAAGCTTCTGTCAGGGAAGAAGTCTTCAGAAAGGACCAGCATTTTCCAAGCCGCGGACCTAAAGCTAAAGGGAGTAGCTTTGCGCTATCAGAAACTTCCAAGTGATGAAGATGAGTCTGGAACAGAAGAATCGGATAACACCCCCCTGCTCAAGGAAGGTAAAGACAGAAAAATCGAAGGGAAAATAGAGAGGCAGCCAAAATCCCCAGAACATGGACCTGAGCCCATTAGAACCTTGATTAAAGCAAAGGAGTACTTGACGGATGCTCTCCTGGACAAGAAGGATTCCTCTGACTCTGGGGTGAGATCCAGTGAGAGCTCTCCAAACCACTCCCTTCATAATGATGGAGATGACTTGCAGCTTGAAAAGGCCAATCTCATTGAGCTGGAAGATGATGGCCGCAGTGGGAAAAGAGGAATCCCTCATAGCTTAAGTGGCCTTCAAGATTCAACATTGGCTCGTATGTCGATCTGCTCAGAAGATAAGAAAAGCCCTTCAGACAGTAGCTTAATAGCAAGCAGCCCTGAGGAGAACTGGCCAGCTTGCCAGAAAGTTTACAATTTAAACAGAACACCCAGCACAGTCACCCTAAATAACAATAGTGCCCCAGCCAATAGAGCGAATCAAAATTTTGAAGAGATTGAAAGCATCAGAGAGCCTCCTCAAATCATTCTGCGCCCTGGATCAAGTTCTAACGCAGTTGCAGTACAGAATGATAACCTGAAAGGTGTGGCCCACAAGCGAAGCCAGCGTCCAAGTTATGCCAGGCTTTCAAAAGATTCTTCTGAGCTCCTTACCGTTACTGGCTCTGATGCTGCAGGCTTTGGGGAAGAGAGAGAGAGCATTCTTTGAGAGGTCTGAGTTCATATGGCATGCCTGAATAATAACATTTCAATGCCTTCCCTCTTCTACATGCTCTTTCTGATCAGGCTCTTTATTGGTTTACCTCCCTATATTATGGTTTGGAGTCCCCCGTCCTCTCTCTACCCAAGCATTATCATGAAAAATTAGAGGTACTTAACTGTGGCTGGACTATGCCCTTAAGCCCCATAGATTTCAGTGTGTGTTTTAAGTTTGGTGTGAGATAATATCCAGAGTTAATGAGCAGTCCCTTCACCAATAAAGGCAGTGTTTAACTCCCCATGGAAGCAGAAATTCTAACTGCTGAAAAGGAAAAAAAAATTAGTATTAAGATAACCTTGCAGAGACAAAAATGAATATTTTTTTAAAAAAACAAACCCTTCCAATTAGTAATTTTCAAAAATTAGTTTTGCTGGTTGGGTGAGATAGGGATGGAATATCCCAGACCTACAAATTTACATTTCTGAGTGTTGTGTGTGACAGTTGAGTGGTGATGGTTCAAGTAGAGATCCAAATATGGTCTTAAATGCAACTCTTATTTATTACATTTCATTAATGATGTGGTCCTGGGAAACATTAAATGTGTAAGGAATAGGGTCAAGTTTTAAAAGGATTACTGCATGTGGAAAATGGTAGTTGTGCCTAAGGTTTGATGTCATTGGATGAATTCTCTGTAGTTGAATAGTCGCATTCAAGGAATTGCACAAAGTGCTTGTGACCATAGTGTTAGTTGAAGCCATGTTCAGGCTGATGCTTGGATGTAGCCTTTTAAAATTTATTATGAAGTATTTTCACTTTTTAAATGAGCATCTGCAGATTGATATGGTTTTGCCTGATTGTGGAAGATGAAAGAGCAGTTAGAAATTGCCATTGCTTTGGGAGTAATTAAAACGTACTGTTTGGCTTAATCTAGCAAGCAAGCTCAGAATTTTGTCCTTCCCAGTAGATGTCAGTAAACTGTACTGCAAACGAAACATGCATGAAGTTCACAGTGATTGGTAAATCATATGTATTCCAATAGTATAGAGGATAATAAAATAATGGGCTTGCTGCTCTTGTGTCTGAGGGTTTTATTTACTTGAATGGTTGTGTCTTCATTTGACTGAATGGCACTAGAAGTGCATTCACGATCTGGGAATCTATATGGGACTTCTGTACACTTACAACAAAACCCGACAAAAGCTTGGATGTGCTTTAGCTTACCAATTTCTAGTACGTGAATAGTGCTGCATAGCCACTAATGACATGAAGTATGAAAGAGAAATCCTTAGATCTTTTTCTAGTGCTCTAAAGAACTGCTGTTTTTTAAAAAATAAAATGAAGATGCTTTAATTAGTGGAATCCATTTTTATTGCAAATATCATTGATCTTTACAGGCTCAATATAAGTAAAACAGAAAGGTGAGCAGTTCTCCATAGTGAGAATGAAAAGCAAGGAAGATAGATGACCAGAGAGAGAGAGAGAGAGATTCCAAAAGCCCAGGAGAAAGAAAGACAGGTCTGAGTTAGTACATAATGAGTACTGAAAATTGCCAGTGGTTAGGAAATGGTGAATGCCTATGGTAAGAAAGTTATATTATAAAAGTTTTTAAACATTACATTTTGTGTTCTTCATTAATACTGTCTTGGGTCAACATGTCAATCTTTGCATTGCTCAAGGACAGTGGCCTGTGATGTAGATTTTTGCTCTATTGACTATGTATGTCAACACAGATAAGATATGTAAAGAAAAATGGCCGAAATAGACAAGCGCAGTAAATACCTTTGAGAGTAAATTTTATGCTCTTGGCTCCCCAGAATGCTGGGCCATTCTGTATCATTGCCAGAAAATAGATGCAAAAAATAAACAGAAAACCCTCAACATCCTTAGAACATGAGAAGTAAAGTGTGTTGGAGATCTAGGCTGCCTGAGAATTACCAGCTTCTTCCCCCCCCCCTTTGCTAATTACAAATATTTATTATTTTGATGATGAGATCCAAGAACTGGACTTGTGTGCGCAGCAGAATGTGTATTTGATGCCATAGTTAACCGTGTGGAATAGAGTATCCCTGACTTGCATGTTCATATAAATAATAGTTTCTGTATTACTTTTAGCTCTACAGAACACTATTGTATATTGACAAAGTCCATAAAATGTTAGACCCAGTTTTTGTTGCTGAAATGTTTGGATTCTGGATGATTTCTCTGCAACGTTCTATGCAACCTTTTTCTGCTTCATGACTTTGTAGTTTAGGTTGGAAGGGCAATTGCTGATAAGCTTCGAATGTTCCACATGTAATTTTTTTGCCTATGAAATTTTAAGGCACTAACTGATGAAATCACAATTTAAAATTCTGAGTGCGTCAAACACTTCTGATTATGCTCACACCAGCTCTTAAGTCAGTCAGTATGTGCACAGTACAGATAAGACTTCAGCACTAGAAAATGAATAGGCTTACCCAGAGTTATGCTAGAAGCTTCCTAAAGTCTTGTTCAGGATCTATAACTTCTGAATCACAACTGGTTGTTGCAAGATTGGATGAAAGGATTTCTTTGATTTTACATGATCCTCACTATTTTGTCAATCAAAGCTCAGGTGTCTTCAAAACAATCTCAGATGTAATTGGAACATATATCATGACCATGCAACTTAATAAGCAACAGCATTGTCTGTTCAGAATCTCAGTGAAGAGCAAACCATGTCCAATATCTGTTGGCTGGTTTTGACATTCCTAGAAGATGGAGGTTCCTTGGATAGTGGCCCTGTTAACAGTGCTAAAATTCTCCACACTTTGACCCCTATCATTTGGTTTGTTCTCTGCCTCAGTCCAGAAAGGTGCCATCTCAGGATTTCCCTGGGTTTTTCTGTTTCTTCTCTCTCATGGTGGCTGGGTGGAAATACAAAGTACTCTTGACATTCCACTGTTCTTTCACCTGAGCATATGAGTGCATTTTCCAGTATGACCCAACCTGCCTTCAGCTCAGAAAGCTTTAAACTACAGGCACTAGGTATTGCTTCCCACTAGCTTTGAAGGCACCCATCTGTCCTTTCTGAGCACAGAATAATAGAAAATGAATTTCCTCTTATACAGCAGCTGTGACCAATCTCCCCCCAAGATGCTTGGGAGAGAGTTCAGTCTGAATAATACAGATCCCCTTTCTTAACTGATTCAAAGTTATCTGCTAGATCATGGGGAGAAAGAGGTCAATGGCCAAATGTTTGGACATGGGAGGTCCTCTTGCTAATGATGGTGCAGGGATTTCCTGCTTCTCGGCTTGATAGCTTCCTTGACCCAACAAGATATTGATCCTTTGTAAGGCTGTGGCGGTAGTGAGCACATATAGGCTCAGCCTCTTGGGGATAGCATTATGGTGTGTGTGTGTATATGGGGGGGTCCAAGTAGATAACCTGTTGTTTTCTGAGAACAAGTAAAAACCATACATCCAATAAGCAATGCAGTTTGTGCAGGAGGAGGGTGTGTGTGAAGAAAGCTCCCTAAAACTTTCACAGGTAATTAAAACTGCAACCCTGTTCCCTTCTATTTTAAAAAAGAATGGGAGCCATCTTGACCGTATCAGGCAGGACAGCAATCTGCACACACACACCCCCAGCAGAATTGCTTGACCCATTTAGGTGTACTCCATGAGGGGGACTGTGCTTTATACCTACCACTGCTTCCAGACAGGCAGCAACACTGTCCCTTGCATCTTGCTGGTAACCATTGTGAAGTCCAGTGTGTAGTGGTTTTCTGCATACAAAAGGTGCACACTTCACATAAAAAAAGGTGCACACCATCTGGAGGTCAGGCCTGTCTTGAGAACGGCTGAAGAAAATGGAACTTCAGCCTCAAACGTCTCTGCTTTGAAGGAGCCGTGATGATGGTTGTCCTTCATTGCAGTTAGCATAATTTTTGCAAATTCCTGATGGATGTTCCTATATGTATAGGTGAATAGCGGAGGAGTTTAAAGCAGTCCAGCGCATACGCTGGGATTGTGCTGGCCAAATTCCGTGATTTCCAGCCAGGCATGCGATTTGGAAGCTTCAGTATGCACAGGCCACTGCTATCCATCTTCCAATTATGGTGAGATTGCAGGAGCACATGACAGCTATGTCCCAATATCTGTTATGGAATCAATTCAAGGTGCTGAATATGACCTACAAAGCCCAAACACCCTAGGCTTTAATCTATACAAGAGGCTGCCTCCAATGCTTTGTTCTGCTGCAGCCTCTATTTGAGCAGACCATTGGATTCAGACCAGTTTCACATGGGGGTTTCCCCTTGCCAAGGGCGGGGGGCCCCCCCCCCCCCAATCTTTCAGGGAATCTTTGGGAGGTATTTGGGATACCACAGGACTGACAGTCTGGATCCAAGCTGCCATCTGTGCCTTAAGGTACAACTCAAAGGACATGTAAAGCAGTGTTCTTGGAACTTGGAATTTCTGTTGGAGGCCTAAAGTCTAAATGTTGGCCCTGTTCAGTGTTCAAATGAAGCAACCACATTTCCCAGTTTCTCTACTGATGGTGTCAAACACAAGTCTTCTGGAATTTGGATTTCGATGTCTTTACCTAGATTTTGTCTGTCCCTTTTAAGTTCTGGGATGCTCAGTGGATGTAGCAACCACTGTGCCTTCCATCCTACTGCACCTTTAGCTGTCTACCTTCTGATATCCTGTTTGCGCCATCAGATTAAAGTCTGTGAAAGTATCATTAACAGAGAAAGCACAGGATCCAAGCCTGAATCTCCCCCACACAAACTGGTGGTGCAAAATGCTGTCAACTCACAGCCTACTGATGGCAACCTTGTAGGGTTTTCAAGACAGGAGACATTCAGACGTGGTTTGCCATGGCCTTCCTCTGCATAGTGACCCTACTGAGCCTTAGTGGTCTCCCATCCAAGTACTAACCAGGGCCAACTCTGCTTAGCTTCTGAGATCTGATGAGATCGAGCTAGCGTGGACAATCTAGGTCAGGGACCACACAACTTAGTCAAAGTATTAGCCAAGTTACAACACAAGATCCCTGGTATTACAGCTGAGCTGAAGTCTACTAAATTCATTCTGGTAAGTGTGGCTCATATATCATTATGGCTGCTTGCCTTGGTCATGTAACCTCAGGGATCCTTTTTTTGTGGGTGGATGATTTTAAATATAGCAAAAGGGTGTGTCATGATATTTGCGTTACTGTAGGGATCTCTAGGTATAAAATCTGCAAAAACAACAGGCTGAGTTGCAGCGGTGCTGGTCTGTATGTCAGAGAGGTAGTTTAACAAACAGTGCATTGGAAACCTTAGAAACAAATTTGTCCACACAATTAGTGCGCTCCCCATCTGCCAAAGAAAGCTGACCAAACAAAATAGTACTTGAGCAGCAACAAAATTGGGACAGTAGTCATATAATTTCACATTGATTGGATAAATATATTACCAGGTACCTTATTTCTCTGCAGTGGAAGGAGCTAAAGATTTACCTTTTTTCAAAAATGAAACCTGGGAATTCAGTGAACATATTACACCTGTTGTGACAACAGTATAGCATGACATAACAATATTCTAACAATTTATGGTAGGGTATGAGCTTTCGTGAGCCATTACTCACTTCTTCAGATGTCTGCTCTACCACAAATTTTGTTAGTCTTTAAGGTGCTACTGGACTCTTACTCTTTTCTACTGCTACAGACAAACATCTTGATCTATAACAGTATTCTGGTGCTGTTGTTGTTGTTTTTTAAAGCCCCCTGGTGGTGGGAGAAGAAATGACTGCCCTGGGGACAGGGTCAATGGCTGTCATATGGGCCAAAAAATCCAACACCCACACAACAGCTATCCAGGCTTTACTACAATCTTTTGCAAAACTTCAGAGCAAAGCAGTTGTGAGAGAGACTGGGAAACAGCTAGGGAAACACACAGAGGTGCACAAATGCACCATGATGCTGTGGGGAAGCAGGAAAAAAAATGTGCTCTCTAAAAGCATTTAATGTGTGGCATCTAACCTGTATGGAATACCTTTCTGTCTTCTTTAATCTCAATGAGCTGCTCTCCTTCCCCCTTTCTTTTAAGTCTTGCTTA